AGGATGCGAACCACGTTGTGTACGTTCGCCATGTACTCTGAAATTGATGCGAGTTTTCTCATAAAAAACACGAACCAAACTAACATGGCAATCACGATTATTATGAAATGAAACACACCTTTTACATGCATAGTTTAAAGAATATTGTCGACGCCCAGTAAAAACACTTATGGGCTTATAATCGTGAATGCTCTCAACTCATAAATACCTAGTAAAAATATAGGAATGGGCTTCATACTCGGGAGGGGCTTACGATCGGAGAAGTACGGTACTTTAACGCAATTGGGCTTCCACTCTCAGAATACTGTGGTTCAAACGCATAAGGCTCTAACCCAAGTTTTAAAAAGCACATTGTGCATATAAAAGTTGAGTTTATACTAGTAGTACACAATGCTTGGCAGCATGAACGGCTATGTACAATGGCGTATACGAATGCGATCAGATACTAAAACGTCATAGCTTTGAAAAGTACCCGGATGTTAAATATGTTCGTTCGTTGTTTATTCCCCTCCATGAATGGCCTCCATAGTGTTTAATTGCAAGCACTTCAAATGCCTATTCAAGCTACAGTTATAATTAAAACAAAATTAAACCACTGCAATATTATTTCGAATACAGTTTAGAATATACACAACTATATATTAAGGCCGCATTTAGGTTCGCTTTAAAGATAAATGTAGATCCTGTAGATTATTACAGAAAACTTGAGGTATAAAAATGAAAAAAACAAGCAGCCTCTCGGCTGAGATAGCTTCGCTGTTAGCAATGCACATTTCAATTAAAGAAAGAAATCATCATGATACGATATCAAAGCAATTAGACTTGACAGAAATATTACTTTTTACCAAAAATGACAAAAAATATTCATCAAAATTAGAGATAGGTCCAACTGTATTACCTATATATATATATATATATATATATATATATATATATATACACACACACACACACATCGGTAATATCAAAGCAATCAGACTTTCTACAAGAAGTCGAAAATATCACTTTTTACCAAAAATTAGAATAGAAGATATCATCATAAATAAACAAATCTGAGAGAGGTCTACCCGAGATACCTATATGTATAGAATTTTTTCAATAGGAAGTAGAAAATATCACTTTTTCACCCTAAATGACAAAATATTCACCAAAATTAGAGAATTAAAGATATCATCACAAAAGAACAAATCTAAAATGGTCTACCAAAGGTACATATACACCAAGTATCAACGCATTCAGTCTTGTAGTTTTCAAGAAGAAGTTGAAAAAGTAAAAAGTTGACACGGACAATGACGGACAATCACTCATATAATAAGCTCTGCCTGACGAAGTCGACAGCGGAGCTAAAAATCATGTCATATTAAATTTTCACTAAAAACAAAGAATTGAAGATATTGTCACTAAATGAACAAATCTGATAGCAATCAATCAATCTAGTATTGAAGCAATTGGCCTAGGTGTTTGCAAGTTTGCGACTGATTTTATTCAGCATTTCTGCCTGAATTTGCTATTTTAGCAGGAATGTATTTGAATCCATTTTTTCTGAAATTGATTTCACGCTTTACATGAGATCTCACATTGAGCAGTGAAAATGGTTTATTAAATTATTTTGAGGAATGTGTATTGTGATCAAATCAAAGAATCTTACCAAACATTGTAACGTGCCTTCTTTCCATCGGTCCTGTCAGTAACTTTTCTGTGGCTGGGTCTGACAGTTTAGATCGCATCCTAAAGAATGAACAAACATGGCTTCCAGCGTTGAAGTCAGCTCTCCGTAATAGTCTCTGTCCACCAAAACTTTCGCGGGCTATGTCAAATATTAAAAAAAAAATTAAGGCAAACAGAGCAATAGGCGAATCCAAATGTCATTATATCTGTGTTTATAGATATGTTGAATTATTACTTATGTCTCACCTCTGGTGA